TGTGTTCAGTAGCAGTGGTTTGTCATTGCTATGTGTTCAGTAGCAGTGGTTTGTTATTGCTATGTGTTCAGTAGCAGTGGTATGCCATTGTTATGTGTTCAGTAGCAGTGGTTTGGCATTGGTATGTATTCAGTAGCAGTGGTTTGGCATTGGTATGTGTTCAGTAGCAGTGGTTTGGCATTGGTATGTGTTCAGTAGCAGTGGTTTGGCATTGGTATGTGTTCAGTAGCAGTGGTTTGGCATTGGTATGTGTTCAGTAGCAGTGGTTTGTTATTGCTCTGTGTTCAGTAGCATTGGATCAGCATTGTGAAGGTGTTCAGTATCTGCATTTTTTTTCAATTGCTTCTACTCAGAGTAGCTGTAGTTCAGTATTTTGCATGCATTTCTAGATATATATACGACTACCAAAGGTCACATAAATGTACCTAGTAAAATTAAACAGCCCATCCAACAGTACATTGATTTATTGACATAATTATGGGTTACTTTTTTCTCATTACATGATATCATCTTGAGCTTCTTTTATTATCATTAAACTCTTGTGCATTTGCGGAATAAGTTGATTTTATTACACCTGTACGTTCTTCGAATAACGAACACTAATTGTCATGTAAGGGCAAGGATAAAACCTACACAGATATTAAGGTGTATCATGAAACCCAGCCATGCATCATTCAATATTTACATGTTCAGTATTCAGTGTTCATCAATCAAAGTGCTGAGATGAGAAACAAAAAAAACTACCGGTATATTTTCAATTTCATGCATTTCTACTGGAGGTCCGCATTCTGACAAACAAGATTCTAAAACTAATATTATTGTGTATTGCTCAAACTAATATTGAATATTGCTCAAACTAATATTATTGAGTATGGCTCAAGCCAATCGGGAATCATATTTTAGATATGATTTGTTGTGTAATTTTAAACTCAGCATGATGCAGGCTGGCAGAACACAAACTTTGATATTATCCTTTGCCATTTCAAGCTGATCAAATTGTGTCTTCAACTCTTCTTCTGACAAAACATTTACAACATTAAAAAAACATTTACAACATTGCTCGAAACATCTAGCAAATTTTAATAGTTACTCAGGACAACAATTACCAAAACTTATCTACAATATATCTTCTTCTGACAGCACTGAGAAGGAGGAAATCAATGAGAATAATTTGTTTGGTAATGTCAAAATTTGGAACTTTTAGACATTTCTTATGGAACTTTTCCTATGGAACTATCAATCTTGCAACCATGGTTACAGAAGAAATGTTTAAAACATTCATGGAAATACAGCTTCAGTTGAAATTTCAGTCAGTATTGGTAGAATTGTGTTGAACTTCTTAAATGCTCTGTACTAACATTGAATTAGTCCGACATGAAAATGCTATCACTAGGTTTAATTTAATTATTAAAATTTTAAACTACTAGTAAATAGTTTATTTTGATATGAATTATTCTTTATCTGAATAATATAAATAAAATTAAAAACTATTTGGATTGATTTGCCTTTGAAATGAACCAGAGAGCTCTGCAGGCTTCAAAAATTCTCTGTCTATCACCTGAGAGGAGAAGAGCATTTTATGCTTCAAGGTACATCAAAATGAACTAACAAGACATTTTCATCTCAGTTAGATCTATCGATATGTGGAGTCTCAATTGTAGCATTATGTATCTGTACTATGTCAGTTAATTGGTGATTAGATATAAATATAAGAAGTATATTCTGAGATTGGACAGTTTTATATAACACCAAATAATATATCTTTTTTATTATTTGAACATCATTATTTGTTTTATTTTATATACCAGCAAGACATCAAAATGAACTAACAAGCCATTTTCATTTCAGTTAGATCTACCGATATGTGGAGTCTCAGTCAGCATGTATTACATTATGTCTATGAACTATATCAGTTAATTGGTGGTTAGATATAAATATAAGTATATTCTGAGATTGGACAGTTTTATAAAGCACCAAATAATATATCATTTTTATTATTTGAACATTATTATTTGTTTTATTTATATACCAGCATGACATCAAAATGAACTAACAAGCCATTTTCATCTCAGTTACATCCATTGATATGTGGAGTCTCAGTCAGCATGTATTACATTATGTATCTCTACTATGTCAAGTTAATTGGTGATTAGATATATTCTGAGATTGGACAGTTTTATATAACACCAAATAATATATCATTTTTAGTATTTGAACATCATTATTTGTTTTATTTATATTTTTATATATTTTATTAGTAAGCTCCATTTAAAAAAATATCTTAATTACTTTTTATTGAACGCATACAAATACAAAAAAGTCATCTTGCAACTTGCCAATCATTGTGGACAATTGTTATAAGGGACAGTGATTCTTTGTGACTATTAGAGACTGTTGATTGCCGTGTAAGTCTAGAAAGAAATGCTTGCAAGTCAAAAAAGATGATGAAATTTTACTGTATTTTGCTATATTCTGTGAAGTACTTTATTTACCCTTGGAATTAATTTTCGCTATTTTCGCTGAAGTAGTGATTCAGTGAAAATAAAATCCAGCAAATATACACTTTTCCCTATATTCTCCATTCAACTTTATACCAAAAATCAGTGAAAATAAATTCCATACAAAACACCCAAAAAGTCTTTTCAGCGAAAATTAATTCCAGCTAAAATACATACATGTATGCATGCAGTATGCAAAGTTCTTACCCATAACGCATTGTTTTCAAAAGCTTAGGAGTACAATATTTGAATTTAGATCAAACTTCTAAGTTGACCTGGCTCTACAATAAAGAAAAAAAACATTGTGTGACTTTTTTATACTTGTCAATAATTGCAATAATGAGTATTTCACAAGTTAAAGGGCGGTTGTTGTCACACAGCACACATTTGAATTTCATGTAAACAATGTACTTTTCATGAGCAATGTACATCGCTATATTTCAAACAGGATGCGGTGCAAAGATCATCACCCTTTAAATAATTAGTTTTATTTACAATATAAATCCCTGTCTTGATATTTGAAAAAAAAAACATTGTTACATACTACTTGTGATGTGACTTGAAATTAAAATGAAGTGATTCACAATAATTAATTAAAAATGTATATATTTGTTAATTGTTTGTGTTTTTTTCCCCTTCTAGGAGCTCAGTCGCAAGTGCATCTGGATCTTACAAGCATGAGTTCAAGTGAGTATATGCCAAGGTCACAATGACTTTATTGAAACTGACTAGTTGAAAAGAAGTGAATAGTGCTATGAAGATACAGATTGTCATGTCGACTATTCAGTGCATTGTTAATCTGATGATGTTAAAATATGTTCATATCATCTTTCAATGAATCAATACAAATGTGATTGCTTCAATTGAATGAATGATACAATTACCTCTCAACCAAACCAGAATTGCGTTTTATTATAATACATCTGTCACCGTAACGCCATAAGTTACAGCATGCCGTAATTTTGCGGTATTTTACAGTGGAACGATTACGCGCGTAAGCATCCTCTAATAATGAAAACAAACATGGCTGCCACCGAGTTTTGACCGGATGCTACACAAAGAAGTTCGCTGATTCTGTTCTAAACTTTTTGGATTTCAACATTCCCATGATGTATCCTTGGAAAAAAAAAATGTATAATAATAAGGTTATTATGAGGATATCTCAAAGTATGCACTCAGACAGAACGCTAGCATGTCATTTTAGCTAATATAAAAGAAAGTATAGTCTCGCGATCGGTTTATTGACAATATAGCCAAATTAAGATTCTCTAAATTTATGCATTGAGCCAAACCCACTAAAATAGCATGTCGCTAGTTCGTAGGTATTTTGCAGTCATTACAAATTGCAGTACCGTGATTACCAACAGCAACATATTACAAGAAATGCAGTTACAAACTGCAAGTATAGAATACTGTAGGCAGCATTGTAATTACGGTGCCATATAAATTTTAAAGTATCGATGCTGCTTCTAAAAAAGGATTTGACTCGATTCTTGTAGGTCGCCAGGGCTTTATTATTTCCAAACAGAAGGTGAAGAAGAAGGGACACACCATCTGTGTATAGTTCATGTCAGAGAAAGACAAAGCGAATTCAGAATCGATGTGACTGACAGGAAGTTTAGTCCTCGATTGCTGACAATCAAACAAGGTGATCGAGTCTGGTGGGAGTGGGACCGACTTAAGGTAAATGAAAACATTATCCACTGTTTTTGAGCTAACAAAAAGTTTTAAAATGAACTTGACATGTCTAATTTTTAAATCTTAATGATGGCATTCACATCTCTGTGTCTAATGTCTATATACTCTGTATTCTATTGTTGCACCGTATTTAACTATATTTATAACCAGACATACATACCTACAATGTATCTTTCATCATTAACATTTAACATGCATAGGAGGAACAAGAGCCATCCACACAAGATGATGAAACATCTTCCCTTTCAGATAATCACAGCAACTCACCTAAGGTAAAACTATGAGTGCATCCATCTTTGATTGATTTGTGTGACCCATGATACCCACAACAATCAGTGTACCACTGGTACCTGCTTTTACCCACATTTGTTCTTATATATCCAGCTCGCAATCTGTACATCACTGATGCCTGATTGAGCCCAGACTGGGTTTATAATATTCACATACCCATCAATCCAGCTCGCAATCTGTACATCACTGATGCCTGATTGAGCCCAGACTGAGTTTATAATATCCACATACCCATCAATCCAGCTCGGAATCTGTACATCACTGATGCCTGATTGAGCCCAGACTGGGTTTATAATATCCACATACCCATCAATCCAGCTCGCAATCAGTACAACACCAATGCCTGATAAAGCCCAGATTGTACTTTATACCCCACACAATCCATCAATCCAGTTCACAATTAGTACAACACCAATGCCTGATAAAGCCCAGATTTG